ATGTGTGCATATGTATATGTATGTGTATGTATGTATGTATATGTGTATGTAAGTGTATGTGTATGCATGTGTATGCATGTGTATGTGTGTGTATGTGTGCATGTGTGTGTCTGTGTGTATCTGTGTGTATGTACGTGTGTGTGTGTGTGTGTGCGGGTATGCGTGTGGTATATGTATAGGATATGGAAGGGATGGGGAGAAAACAATATTATCTCCCGTTTTATCCGAAGCATTTGGTTATATTTTTCATGGCGGATAGCTAATTAAATTTAGTTCATTAGTGTTAGTTTATTGTTCCCGATTTAATTAATTAGTATAATTTAATTTCAAGATAGTTACAAATATAATAGTTGCTGTTATGATAATACTTGTACAGTGACTAATTTAATTACACTAAATAATCACGATTGCTATAGTATTATTTGTACAGTAATTAAATTATGATAAATAATCATTATTACTATATTAATATGTGGACAATAACCAGTTGGTCACAATAAATAATTGTCACTATTAATAATACTTAGATAATAACTAAATTTCAATAAATAACTGTTATTGTTACAGTAATAAGCGTTTAACAATTAAATTACAATAAGTTATTGTTATAGTGATACGCATAAAATAAAATTAATTTTGTATTACAATTAATCGTTATTATCTCTTGCATATCTTTATATGTATCCGATTGAAATAATTTTCATCATGAATACAATTGCCGTATAAATTTAAACAAGCAAAATAATTTTAAAATTTTAAACTGTATAAATAAATCATCACTTTTGCATAACATTAATACATAATACTGTTGCAAACATTGTATGCCAAATGCTATTGCACGTAGACGTGCAATTACAAAATGCAAACAGAAATGCAAGCAATTACTGCATAATGCATAACCATCATTCGTTCTCAATAATAATAATGTCCGTGTCATTAATGCTTCTCATCTTATTATCCTTCCAATTCTGACATTCATTCATCTTTTTTTTTACTCTCAATCTCTAATTCTCCTCCTTTTCTCCTCTTGTTTCATTTCTTTTCTCTGTTGCAAAACAAGGAAATTTACAAATCAATCATCATCTCATCCCACCCAAACGAATCATTATTACATCACCTTCCCCCTTCCTCCTCCTTCCCCTTCCCCTTCTTCTTCTTCTTCTTTTTCTTCTTCTTCTTCTATCATCACTGTCATCATCATCATCATCATCACAACCATCACTATCATCGTTACCATCTCAATCACTATCATTATCATATCCATCACTATCACTTATCACTATCATTTACCATTACCGTCTATCACTGCCCTCATCATTACCCATCATTATCATTGTTGCCATCGTTATCATAAATATTTTGAACGTTGATTTTTTAATCATTGTTGAACGTTTATTCTTCAATTTTTAATTCTTACAATTAGGTTATTTTTATTTCTCTCTAATTCAATCTAGTAATTGCGAATC